GAGAAATGAAGCCATAATGTAACTTTAAGCTCTTTATGTTGGAAGCCCACGTGATCATGTGATCACTAGTATTCGTCGATTTGCTTCACCTTTGCTCTGGTATTCTGGTTTTCCTTGCGAATAATTTTTATTAGGCAAACTCAATTTTTTTTCGCCCACCAACATTGAAATTTATATTGTTTGCTTAATAATTGAACTCCAAGTTTTCTCAGGGATTTAGTTGTTATTGTTTTTTGACACTTGCGGTGATTTTATTTGTTTTTCGGATCCAGATGTAGCGCTTCTGGTCGTAGCAGCATTTACTCATAGTTGTAGCTCGAGTGGTATTTTGTGTTTATCCAGAACCGAAGTTAAGTTATAAAGCTATATTCATAAATCGTTTATTTAAAATTCTATTCGTTAAGTAATTATAATTTGATTCATCATTATATCTTTCTGTATTCGTCTGCACAATCAATCTTCGAGTTGTGTTGCCATTGGCGGCTTGATTGTTTATTAATTGTCTAAAGCTTATTCTTACAGTCAACAAATTGAACTGGATGCTGCTTTACCTACACCTACTTGCAGAAACGTTGTCATAGAAAATAGGACATTTGAATTTAGTAAAAAGGAATATATTAAAACAAGACAATAGAAAGCGTTCAGCATATCTTTCATCTTCCTTTGTCTTGTTGTAATATATTCCTTTTTACTAAATACAAATGTCCTATTTTTTATGACAACGTTTTCGCAAGTAGCTGTATCTATATTTATGTGCTTTGCCGTTATTACCACTATACATGATTACGTCATTGGCTTATTTCTTTTGCGGTCTCATCTTCAGCTCAGCTTTTGCAAGGCAATAAGGGCTGTTTTTCCAGTGGTACCAGTTCACGCAAAGGTATGAACTGGTACCGTGGTATTTGTACTGACCATTAAGGTTGGAATTATAGCAGTTCTTATACCACCAGGCAGCCTTGAAGGATGCTGCACAGCTGGCACTGTTCTTGTCATTGTCACGATCTTTGGTACTGAAGGCCATATTACGATGATAGGACAGGGAGTCACCTGCTGTACCTGAAATGCAGGAAACACAGCTTTGTACCATTATTTCGTTTATACTTTTTTTAACGTTGTTATTGATATTTTGAACGACTTTTCGCATGGGGTCGCATAGATACTGAGCATTTGTCTTCATTGAGGCAATTTACTATTTTTCCGGGTTTTTCTTTTGTTGTTGTTGTTTGTCACTTCTTTTCCAATCCCTTTTTTTTTTCTTTTTACTTGTTTCTTTTTGTATCACATTTAAGGCCATCATTCATTTAGCTTATTAGCTTTTTAAAATACTTGTGAATGACATTCTCTTCATAACAGATTTTCAGATGGTTCTGAACTGTGCACGCAAATCAAGCGTTTGAAATTTGTATCTGGTCAATAAGAATTAGTGCAGAACATATAGCCAACCTGAGTAAGTTCCAAGACTTAACTTGTACTTGCTTCGTTCACTGGTCACATAAAACAAATCGTATTCGGCATACGCGCTGTTTCCTTTAGTGTCTCCAACCTCAACACGAAGACGGTTTTGTGTTTGATGGGCCAATCGATGGATCTTATCTAGGCCAAGCCAGAATTCTCCTTTGAGATCTCCAAAACCTTTCTTATAGTCGGCCCATCCTCGGTAAAAGTCCACCGAACCGTCTTTTCTTCTCTGGAAGACTGTCCATCCTCCTCCTGCAGTCTTCTGGTCACAGTAAACCTGGAAAATGCATTATTTTACACTTAAATTGGTGCGGAGAGCATGCAGCTGCACTTCGTAGGTAGCAAAAACAGCGAACGATGCATGGAATAGAAATGTGCGAGAATTATATAGCGACAGAAGGTGACTCGGATTGGCTATAACAAGGCAATGAAATTGCCGCAATAATTCCCGTCAACTCCGCCCCTATTTATAAAATATGCCAGCGCTGATCAGGGTGAACTATGTTTGTTTTATTTACATATTTGTCATCATTACAGCCTTTTGCAAAAATTATGAGAATTGTTGAAATATCTAAATATCATAATATCAAGTGCATGATCCCGCGCGATGCCCTTAGTCTCTTGTCTTTGTTGTTTAGTTTTTTTTTTGGCGACGGACTTATCCGTAGTTCATTTTCTCGATGTCAACAATGAATTATTCTAGCAAACCCGCGTGTTCCGGACAATATATGGATATGGATATTATGATATTTAGATATTTAGACAATTCTCATAATTTTTGCAAAAGGCTGTATATTACGATGATTGTCAAATATACTAGATAATTACCTTGAATTCGCCTTTGCCATCAGGATTGACTTTGTACACGCCGCTCTTTTTGCCACCACATTTCGTGAGAACTTCTTGACAGTTTTTAGGAGCTATTAACCAACAAATGCAATATGTTTGCATCCACAAACTTAATAACTATTTACAAACTAGAACTGTAATGTTCAAAATTGTAGCTTTATGCATGATTTGGTTCAGTGTCGAACGATCAATTAGAAAGCGACCGCTAAATTCGTTAATTACGGAAAATCAAAATACAGGCTAGTAACGAGGTCTTGGGATCAGGGATCAGCGTCATTTTTTGGACTATTCTGGGATCAGGGATCAGGATTTAGGCCCAGGATCCGGATCAAATGGATTTAGCCTGGGATCAAAGGTTTTTCAACTGGGATCGGGATCCATGATTTTTTTCAAGGATTCTGTAAGGGGATCAGGGCTCAAAATGTACGGAGTTTTGGGATCGGGATCACGTTTTTAGGCCGTTTTGATCBGGATYAACAGCAAAAAAATATACCTCGTTACTAGCCTGAAAACATCACAAATTTGCGTTTGCAATTGCTTTAGTTTTAAGACGGAAACTTCAAGTCATACATGCATTTATGAGTCCTTTTAAGATAGACATAAGCCTTTCAAATATCGTTTACTTGAAATTCTATTTGTAAAGTAAATCTGATTTGATTCGTTGTAATTGTTCAGTCACAAAGGAAGCATGAGGAAGACTCGCCGATCCGACATTAAATTCGTCTCGAAAATCATTTTAAGCTTACGTGTGTTTTATTTATCCACGTTCGTCTACAATTCAAAAAATATATTCGCTCGCTACCGTACTATTACATTGTAATATTTGATACATAGTTCATTGTGTGGTTAGACATCGATAAYWCTATTTTGAGCCGCTACGGAAACTGGCAAACAATAAAAGCAACGGTGCCGTATAGTTGGCCGGGGATTCAATTGAACCAACTTTCAGTTGTTTAATTCACCGTTACGGAATAAGCATTCTTAAAAGAATTGCTGGAAAAAAATAATAAATAATAAAAAAAAATAATAATAAAGACCAAAAAAAGAAGAAAAAACAATACTGTATCCCTTGGGATTCGAACCGCGACCTCTTGATCATTGAGCTTGTATTTAAACCACTAGGCCACAATGTCAAACCTGATATAATTGTGACTAAGACTGGGATTTATTTCGCCGTCACTCGCCGTGCTTATCAACACAATCGCAGTTAAATAGGATTGTAACGAAAAAAATTCATAAATCGGTTTCTTTAAATTGTAATTGTTAAAAGTAATTATAATTTGATTCATCGTACATCCATCGTTCTGTACCAATCTCCGAGTTATGCTGCGTACCATTGGCTGCTTGATTAGGAGCTATTAACCAACAAATGCAATATGTTTGCATCCACAAACTTAATAACTATTTACAAAAAAGAACTGTAATGTTCAAAATTGTAGCTTTATGCATGATTTGGTTCAGTGTCGAACGATCAATTAGAAAGCGACCGCTAAATTCGTCTATTCGTTAATTACGGAAAATCAAAATAGCACAAATTGCTTTAGTTTTAAGACGGAAACTTCAAGTCATACATGCATTTTTGAGTCCTTTTAAGAGAGACATAACTTCTTAGGCAT